ATATAAGAATACAGTGCAATCCCTTACAGAAATTTCATGATAATCAGTGCAAACTAATACCTATTTCATACCTATGCAAACTAATGTTTTCAGTCGCATTAGGCGCATTAGGCTTTTTGCCACATAAATAACATATCTTGACCATTTTTGCCTGTGTACAACAGCACACATCTAATAAGCATAACGAGCATAACCTGTTCGCGTCATCTCACTGATCGCACTCTATTTTCCTATTGGCGGATGCAATCAATCCAACGCATGCGCACAACACTCAAAGTACTCTTAGAAAGAGAGGGAAATATATATTCCCGCACCGTGGTTCTGGGACCGCTTCCTCTCACTCCCTCTTATAGGCACTAGTCATATAGTAGTATTACATATATGCAAACAGGTAACCGCAATATGCAAACGACCTCCCCTGTTTGGTTGGATGTTTGGGTCCTACCACGCTAAAGCGGGGAGCACAGACTTTTGCATAACGCATAAAGCATGTGCATAAGGAATTTCATTGGTCCATTTTCTTATGCATGAGTCAATGGACCAATCAAATTCTTTATGTATATGGTTTATGCGTTATGCAAAAGTCTGTGCTCCCCGCTTTAGGCTGGATTCGGAGAGACGCTATTAGCGCTATTTAAATTGTGAAACAATTGTTTCATTTTATCTTCGTCGTCCATTAGACGTGAGACAAAGACAGTACCACACAATGGCGCTAATAGCGCGCTGCCCGAATGCAGCCTAAAGCGGGGAGCACAGACTTTTGCATAACGCATAAAGCACGTGCATAAGGAATTTCATTGGTCCATTTTCTTATGCATGAGTCAATGGACCAATCAAATTCTTTATGTATATGGTTTATGCGTTATGCAAAAGTCTGTGCTCCCCGCTTTAAGCCCATGGCACATAGAAAAACATAAGGCCGTAAACTTAATCAGTAAGCGAATTGACCAATCACAGTTGAGAACATAAGCAGTCGCCGCCTACGTTCTCAACTGTGATTGGTCAATTCGCTTACTGATTACGTTTACGGCCTTACGTTTTTCTATGTACCATGGGCTTTAAGCACAGTGTATACACTAGAGTTCTAGATATCAGAGAAGCGCAACCGGTTTAAGTCAGTATCGCAAAATTACTAAAAACAGTATTAAAAATGGCGTCGTTTGCAGACGAACTATGAAATCCACCAATCGTCTATTAGTCAGCCATTTTTAATACCAATGAATAAATGTCATGATTGGCTGACAGTCATCAGCGAATCAAGACGAGGAACATCAGCTTCTCTGACATCTAGGACTCTAATAGCGTTTTCCACTGGGAAAACTGGTGCAGCACTAGCGCCGTGCTACTCAATCAGCATACTATATTTAAAAAGTATTTTTTAACGCTATAAATCACACTAGCTATTGTGCGATTGTGATTGACAATTGAGAATTACTTTTCAACCAATCAGAGCAAAGCAATCAGTGACTACTTTGCTCTGATTGGTTGAAAAGTAATCCTCAATTGTCAATCACAATCGCACAATCGCTAGTATGATTACGGCTTAAGGCCGGGTTCACACCTTGGTCGCGTTCGAAAATACCACCTGAGTGCCTCGATCCTCCCGAAGATCGTTCGAAAATACTTCGATACTCTCGATGAACTTTCGATTGTTGCGTTCGAAAACACACCCGAACCACTTTGAGAGTGACTATTTCTCCCTACCTCGCTGGTAGGGAAAAGAGGGTAATCTCGGATAAACGTGAATTTAGTGCACAGAACATATACTAAGGCCGGAATCAGACTACGCATTGAACATTGAGATTAAAGATTGAAAGATTGAAATTTGGCCAATCAAAATAATAGGAGCAAAAATTCTTTTATTCTCATTGGTTAAATTTCAATTTTTAATCTTTAATCTCAATTTTCAATGCGTAGTCTGATTCCGGCCTTGAGAGAAGCGCAAGTACCGTGTTAAACGATGGCGACAAGAAATGATCGTCACGCTCCTAGTGGCCTGGCCGACGTACTACGTAGTACTACACATGCATATATATATACAGGGTGTAACTAAATTATCGCACTTGGAGTATACCATGAGATACAGGACGAGAATCCAAGTAAAAAAGTCCTGAGTCATTTTTTGATACGAGCTTTTAGTTCGTTATAAAATAACATAATATTGAAAAATATTATTTAATCCTAAAAATATAAAAGAAAAAAGAATATAATGTATGTACAAATAAGCAAATGGTAGGAACGTAGAAAATATAACACAGAGTAATTAATACGAACAAGTATGAACTTTTTATTTTAATTTTTTGTTTACAATTTTAACAATTTATTTTAAGGTTAATTAAAGAATACAGAGTAAATGATAATGAGTAAAGAATATTGAATAAAAATAATAAAATTAAGTTTATTATACACTTGTTTGAACATTAAACAATATTTATGAGATCTCAAAGCGTAAAATTTAAGCTTTAAGCCTCAAACCAAGAACTTTAGCAGAATAGCTGATTCACTTAAGACCTAACAAATTTGAGGAGAATAATTGACAATGATTGGTTAATTTCTTAAGGTTTAAAGCATAAATTTACGCCTTAAAATCTCATTGTAGGCATCGCTTTTTAGAATTATTAACTTACAAATTAATATCAGTATATTTTATTCGGATATCCGGTTAGTATTCGGTTTCCAGTAATATATTCTGCTAAAATTTTATGTTAAAGTGACATGCATAATGTGAATACCCTAAAAACTTTTATTATCACACTGATATATTTTTTAGAAATTAATACCGGATATCTAGGATTCTAG